TACACCAATGTTGCTATCAGTATCAGAGACCAACTTAGACTTGCAAATTACTTCGACAGGTGTATTGGAAAGCTGACGTAGTAGGTGGACTAAATTTGAATGTAGCTCAAGTATGATGCACAAGCTGTAAGTTGTGATTGTAGAAAGCTTTTGTTTGAGTACACCTAATGTCAAAATGCAGAGCGATTAGATGAAGCGACGGATGCCAGTCGTTGTTAGGAGCATATGACAAGTACACGAATCGTATAGAGTATAGGATACGTTAGTGACGCATGTAAGAGTGAAATCAACTAGCGATTGGAAATGGAAGCCGGAGTAGGACTTGCGGTCATTCTGCCAACGCAGAGACCACAAAGTTGGAATACGAGAGCGGTTACCAAGGCTTATAGCTGATGCTACAATTAACATCAGGCCTCTATTGAATCACACTGTGTGAGCGCGCTCTTGCTGGCTTGACTACGCCACTTACCCAACTATCTATTGACGAGCGTTTGAGAGCCACCTCTGGACAATGCTCATCACACGAACTTTCCGTAGCTGCATTTTCGCTTTCTTCCACTATGGATGCGTACTGCGATGGAAAATGCGAGTTTTCGCAGCGGGACTACGAAGCCGAAACAAACTAAAGCCATGTCGAACGAAGCCATTTATGAATGGGATAAAAGTTGGTGCATGGAGAGCGCCTGAGGGATGAAATCCACCAACTAAGTCGTGCAGAGTTGGCCGCCGCGGCTAAGCGGATTCCTCTTGAAACCCAATTTCGGCGCGGGATCACAACTCTTTGACTTGTCAGCGCCCGGCGACCACTAACACGAGTAATCTAATCACATGCTAACCCCACGGAGCTATCACACCCGCTTCGAGTCAACACTCAAGGGCCATCGCCCGCGGCTTCTCCGTCCTGACAGCACTTTTCGCCTCCATTCCGTCCCATCATTGAAGCTGACGAAGGACGATTACGTTCGTTGTGTGGCAAGAGAAAAATCAGGCTGATGCCTAGTTGGCTGGTGTGAAGCCGTTCAAACTTTGGTGAACTAATGCGCAAGTGTCAATGGGACAATGGTCTACTGAGGAACAAAAAAAGGTTTTTACTTGAGTGATGATTGTGTTCTCTGTCGCTAAGCTGCAAATGATGATGTGTACTGAAGATTAACACTTTTTTTAAGCCTAAAATTATGCAAGTTGCGAGGTCTAAAGCGAGGATAATAAAAGATAGAAACCTCAGAGATGAAAGGAGAGATGCCTGCCGCAACTAGTGAGGTGCGGTGTGCACAGAGCAGTAGCAGACACACGGCTTCACTAGGATATCGAGATAAGCAAGTGGTGCGACTCCTATTAGGCGATAATGGGAGGCTATCGCTGGCATTTCGCCCATTACCGTCGAATCGCCGCTTCGCTGCGCTCTCCAATTAGTCGACATGGTGTCTTCTCGACGGCCTCGCCCCCCTTTGCCTCACTACACTCACTCTGTGGCCACTAACGAAACCACTTGTACACATCAGCTCAGCAGTAGATGTGTACGGGATTCTTCTCCAACACATATCCTGCTTGCCTCCTCTTCGTCCCTTCAGGGGTAGTACATAGGCGGCGGCCAACCAATGCGCGTCCGAGTCCAATTACGTCGCCCGCCAGGTATACGGTGGGTGTACGCATCTGTGCCCCAAAAAATCGCACTCGTTTTCTCCGCATTTCTACTTCCTGCCGTATAAAAATTAACCAGAGTTTTGAAAAATTTAGCCCAGAGAAAGGATTAGAGCTCTCCACTTCTTCAGAACATCGATATAAAATATAAGAAAGTAAAGAATAACCGCTAATTGCAATAGTAAAATTGCCAGAAATTTT